ACCTTAAACAGGTATTATTTCTGTGCAAATAAGCTTCAAATGAATTTCAAAATAGGCACTAGTTTGTAATTGAAGGTCAACCCTATTGTGGAGACACATCTGGTGTAAACTTTTTAAAAATAGTTTACAACTGTTAGTTGGCTGGCGCCTGTAATCCCAGCACTCACTAGGGAGGCTGAGACAGGAGGATGTCAAATTTAAGTTAAAGTTATCCTTGGCTACATCGAATGACACTATCTCAAAAAATAAATTTAAAAAGGCTCTTCTTAAAATAGAACTTACCACACACACACACCCGTTGTAAACTATAGTTTGTTGACTAGATTTTTTTGTGCTGAGTTAGAAGAATTTGGCAGGAGAAACAGCAATCGTTTATGTAACCGCTACAAGGATAACTTTAGTGCCTAAGAAGTGTCTGGAGGCATCAAAATCTAAGACAACTTTGTGGCTGCAATGAAGATAAGTAATACTTGACCTTGCAGAGAGAAAGGTCAGAATTACAAGATCCCACGGAGCTTACCAAGGACGGGAGGGGGGCAGTGTAGGGAAAAAAACAAACAAACAAACAAGTAACCCTGGCAGAGCCAAAGCCTGCCCTCTGCGTACAAGGACACGTGGAGAGGCAGGCACAGATCCCCCGGCTGGACACCCACAACAGCTGCCAGCCAAGTCGAGTGAGCTTCTCAAAACAAAGCCAAGGGCTTCCCTTCAGTCTTTGAACTTCCTTGTCCCTTCCCCCCACCCCTCAATCTACCCGAAGCTGCCCACGGAGGCCACAGGTTTCTGGGCGCAGCGCCTCTTTCCCCAGGCGAGATCGGGGAGCACTGCACCCACTTCGCAGCACCCTCGACCCCGGCCCGCAAAGCCCCACCGGGACGATCGCACGCCGGCAGCCCTCGGTCTCAGCTCCCACCTGTGCCCTGCAGCATGTTCTGGCGGAGCAGGTCCCCGCTGGAGAGGTGCTTCAGTTCGAAGTGTTTAGTGATGCGTGACGACACAGTGCCCTTGCCGGAGCCCGGGGCCCCCATGATCACGGCACGCAGCAGCCGCCCGGACGCCCCCATGGTGGCAGGCGGTGGCCCGAGCTGCGCAGACGCTGGACTGCGGCCTGGCCTGTGCGCTCACCGGCTCCGCGGCCCTGGCGGGCTGGCAGCTGCAAGCGGGCGGTGGCCAGGGCGCCCGGCTCTCCCGGAAGTGAGCGACGGCCACCGGGGCCGCCCCGCCGGCTGCTGCACCGCCCCTCCACGCCCCTGCACCCCACTCCCTTGGGCTCCACCCCGCGCCTCTTGGCATCCCCAGACCCTCGTGCTCTGTGCTGCCTGGTCCCAGCCTGCAGGCTGCGCCCGTCTGCATTCTCCCCAGTGGACAACCTCTGAGCACCTTCTAGTCTCCCGCGGGCTTCTCTGGATGGCTGGATTTTATTTTATTTTTCTCTGTGTTCATCTTTGTCACCCTTAGTCTTTTCTAGGAGCCAGGCTCTGTCCTGCTCAGACCCATCAGGAAGCAGGGCGCCTCATTTTCTGTCCCCCTCTGCTCCCCTGGTTCACCAGATGCCCACCCACCTTTTCACACCAAACCTCCTTTGACCTTCTTCCCTCTCCTTTTTCACCCCATTTCCTTCTCCTCCAGGGGTGACCTTGAACCCTCATTACTGAATTTTTCATCAAGTGAAGTATGTGTCTTATCTCCCGTATTCTACTTTCAGAACCCAAAGGTTCTGTTAACTTTTACTTCTGTTAACACTGATCACTTTAACTTCGGCAAGGGTCCAACACACTAGCTCCTTCAGAAATGCATTCATTTCAGGACGAGTCATCCAGTGCCTATTGTGTGCCAGTGTTCTTCGAGGCCTCCGAGAAAGCTATGCTGAACAGACCCGAGTTTCTGCTGCTGGTGGTTTATTTTCTTGCTTGTTTGTTTGTCCGGTGGTGGAAGCAAACAAATGAGGTCTTTTGAAGCAATACTGTGAATAAAAACAACAATAACAAACCAGCGGACAGTGGTGATACAGACCTTTAACCCCAGCACCCAGGTAGAGGCAGGCGGATCTCTGGATTCCTGGCCAGCCAGGTCTACAGAGTGAATTTCAGGACAGCCAGGGCTACACAGTGAAACCCTGTCTTGGAAAAACAAACAACAACTAAACAGAAGGTGTGGGAGGGGGCAGTGAAGCCCTGGCATCGGCTCTGAAAACGGAATGAAATGGGGGTGGGGGGGACACGAGGTAGGAATGGAAGCAGAAGAGAAGCGATTGAGTTGTATTTTATCTGTAAAATGGGTGCAGGAGATTAGTGTGAAGTCGAAAGGTGTGTGAGGCCTGTACAAGACCAACTACGGGAAAGTGCTCAGTGAGCGCTGCCCACTGTCCATGTGATAGGGTTTCTTTGTGCTGGGCACGGGGAAAACAGAAAAGTATCTCTAAAGGAAACACCATGTGTGCCCCCTCAGAGGCGACCAGATGACTGGTTCAAAACGACTTGCAGTTTCCTAGTAAAAATTATTTCTGCGCCGGGCGGTGGTGGTGCTCGCCTTTAATCCCAGCACTTGGGAGGCAGAGGCAGGCGGATTTCTGAGTTCGAGGCCAGCCTGGTCTACAGAGTGAGTTCTAGGACAGCCAGGGCTACACAGAGAAACCCTGTCTCGAAAAACCAATAATAATAATAATAAAATAAAAAAATAAATAAAAAAAAAAAGATTATTTCCAGGTGGTGGGGAGGGTGGCAAGGGAGCTTTGCTTGCTCAGAGAGAAGACATGGTCTGCTGGCAAGGTGAGGCAGACAGCCCTGTACTTAAAAAAGCAAATGAGCGGCTCACACATTGTTATTACTGCAGAAGAGGGAGTAAATAAGTAAATTACACAGTCAATGCCTGTGTGTGGAGTTAGGAAGAGAACATGAGAATACCCCGGGGAAAGGAAAAGAAAGGAGTAAACACAAGAATGGCAAGGTCTGGGCAAGAACAGGTTGTGCAACACCAGAACCAGAAAACCTGATGGTGGAGAAAAGCATTTCCAGTCTCCAAAGTCAGAAACATTTGTGGTTTCAGCCTTGAAAATAAATCTTTGGAAATTTTGACTATGGGGGTAGGGGGTGGAACAGCTAAGGATGCCCCTCCCAGCACCACAACAAGCAAACACACAAACCTGAACAGAGAGATACACTGCTGTTCTCTTGGAGTTAACGTTCTATTGGGGAGAGAAGACAGAAGCAAACACATGAATATATAAAATGTAAGGTGTTTCAAGACTTGGGGTAGGAGGAAGCAGTGTGTGGTCACTTTAACAGGCCCACGGGAGCTTGCCAACTTCGGCTTCGCTCAAAGCTGTTGATTACAGAGGAGTAAGAGGCTGCCAAACTGGGACAGTCTCCTGGCAACTGGGCTCAGGGCAGTCATTTCGACACACACAGGTATTTATTTATGTGAGTCTTTGTTTTCCTGTTTAACTTATACTATTGATAATGTTGGAACGAAAAGTTAATTTGAATTTTAGTCTAGCAAGAGTGCCTGACCTACCTATGGCCAAATGTTTATATAGATCCATTTGTATTGAAGAAAGCTCAGGCAAGAGCCCTCTGTGTAGTAGACATTCAGTAAATGTCTGTTGATGAGACACTAAGGAGTACTGTTTTGTCACATTAAATTCCAGAATATTTCAAGTCCCTAGAGTGTACAGAGTGGATCAGGGATTATAGGTATGTGGTTATTATAGGTTGGACTGTCTCCCTAAAAATGTGGAGGTGTGGCTGGTACTAGGTCTTACTGCCTCAGCATGTGGCCTTATTTAGAGAAGAGCTGTCACAGGAACAGTTAGGGAGATCACGCTGGGGTGATCAGTCATCATCTTTACCAGGTGTGCTTTGAAGACATAAATAGTGTGTGGCAACAGGCAAAGACTGGTGTTAAAGGGCTGCAAGCCAAGGAATTCCAAAGAGCAGTGGCAACACCAGATACCTAGAGAAAGACAAGACACTGTCCTCTCTTAGAGGCCTTACGAGAACCCTCAACCCTGCTAATACCTTGCTTTTGGCTCAAAGTTTCACTTCCTGTTAACATTGACATGAATATACTTATTCTAGAAAGCTCTGTGTGTGCACTTTGTCTCAGCATGAGCTAGGTGAGTGAGAAGGAAGGCTAGTCAGAGTCAGTGTCTGGGAAGCCCTGACTAGCGCTGGAGTTGGGAAAAGACAAAAGAACCCCGGAAGAAGAGGGCTTATCTAGTACTTATTGCAGTAGAAGTGGGCCAAGCCTTTGTTGGCTTAGCACAGTGTGACTTTGCTTCTGGTTCCTCATGGCTTACTGGACTGGATGGCTAGAACAGACTGGAGAAGTGGGTGTTTGCCCATGTGCTCTTCAGTCTCCTGGTCTGCAGATCTATGGTGCCTGGGTTCCTGGACGGGAGTGTGTTGATATGTAAATCCTTCTTACATCTCTTCCTGCCTGACTCTTGTGATACTGATATTGGCCAAAGGGAGTCCCATGGCCAAGCCTGTGTGAGTGTATGTGTGAGTGTGTGTCTACACTTCATAAAGAAATCAGTAATAAAATAATCTTGCTCAAAGACTCTTAATTACCTATTACAACTTAACCAATTATCCCAAAACCTAGTAACTTAAAACAATGATAGTTATGATCTCATAGTTAGCATCCATCAGGAATACAGACATGGGACAGCTCAGCTGGGTGCCTCTGGCTCAGGTCTTATAAAATGCTATAGCAAAGATATTGGCTGGAACTACTATCTTCTCCAACCACAACCTAGAAAGGATTTACTTCCAAGCCTCCTGATGTTGCTGTTGGTAAATCTCAGGTCCTTGGTGATTGTTGGCCAAAGAGAGCCATTTCAAACCTAAAACGGGGGCTGCGAACGTATCTTGGTGATAGAGTCTTTATCTAGTGAGGATGAGGGCCTGGATTTGACTCCCAGCAACACAATAGACAAGCACACAAACCTGAACAAAGGAAATACATTGCTTGTTCCCTTGCGCTAACATTCCACTGAGGAAAGGAGACATAAATATAAAAATACATGGAATGGCGGACGTTCAGGGTGCCACAGAAAAAAATAGAAAGAGAGGAGACCTGGGATTAGGATAAAGCTGTTGCTGTTCTGTAAAGAGAATAGGAGGTATTGTCACACAGGTCAGCATTTTGAGGTCAAGAATAAGCCGTCTGGATAACCAGAAGAAGAACGTTCTGGAGACAGAATGGAAAGATCCAGAGAAATGGCGCCGAGGGGAGGAATGCCTGGAAAGCAGTCTGGAAGTCACACCTCTGGAGCAAACAAGTGAGGAGATAACCGGAGAGTGTGGGAGGTGGAGAGAGTCCACATCCTACAGGGCCTTATCAGTCACTGGGGTCAAGTGGGATTGTCTAAAGATGGCCTCGGCTCACACCCAATTCAGAAACCCCATGCTCTTCCCACGTGCGGTTTCTGTCACTTCCCCACTGAAGACGCCAGTCTGTGTTCCCTCAACCTCTGACTTGGGTAGGCTCATGTGACTGTTCTAATGAGCTGAGTATGGTGTAAATGATACTATGACTTCTAAGGATAAGCCCTGAAGGATGAAGCAGCTTTGGTTTTTTGACTGTTGGCTGCAACACACAATTTGGAAACCTGCAGTAGCTGCATAAGAAATCTGACTACCCTGGGACACAGCAATGTAAGAAAGCCTAGCCCACTTGGAGAAGCCACAAAGAGAGAGTGATACACAAGCCACCTCTAGTTAAAACCATCCAGCTGATTCCTTCCCAAACGTCCTGTGATTAAAGAAAATGACCGTGCTGCTTTTAAGTGTTAACGTGAGCTAGAGAGTACAGCAGCCCAGGTCGTGAGAACTGCGTAGCCAGATGTGATGACACCCAGATGTGATGACACCCAGATGTGATGATACCCAGATGTGATGATACCCACCTTTAATCCCAGCTCTTGGGAGACAGGGGCAGACAGATCTCTGTGAGTTCCAGGTCAGCCAGACTATGTAGTGAGATCCTGCCAGACAAGATGTGCCCATGGGACAATAATGGACTACTTTGGGAGTAACCAACTATTTCACGTTTGATTTTGAGACTAACTCTACAGGAGGAGATACG